ACGAGGAATTCCGTCTGCCATGGTTGAGCTTGCAACACAACTTTTCGAACAGAAGTCCCATAGACGACGCCAATAATACAAGTCTCGCACTCCAAGCGGCTGGAAATCGTCTCGAGCTCACTCTCCTCGCCGGTAGAACGCGGAACCTGCACGCAACTCTCGCATCGGGGGTGTTTTCCGGTGACGAGCCTCCAACACTCAAGTCAGATCTTGAGAAAGATGAAGATATATGTGTAAGTGTATAAGAGTATGAGAGATTGTGTCTAAAATGAGAGTTCTCGCCCCTATTTATAGGGGCGAGTTACCTGTTCTACACGCGCGACCTGGGCGAGTCCGGCTGGCAGCCCTTCTGCTTGTCGTACAACCGCACGCCTCCGCTATCTTTGGTGTCAGAAAATGCGTCGAATATGTCAGAGAATGTCAGAGTTCGTTATCGCCGTGGACCACTCGTAAAGCGCCGCATGTCCTCCCTCCACATGCTGGAGATTCTCTTGTGTATTCTGATGTTCGACCAAATCTGTAGTGAATGTTGGGCTGTCTTCGAGGTATGAGGTGCTCGAGTCCACGACCATGCTTGCCAGACCAATTTTCCTCGACCAACTCCTCGAGCAGCTGTTTCTCGTCTAACACTACTGAACCTACTCTTCTTCGTCGTCTTCCCTCCTCGAGCAGCTGTTTCTCGTCTAACACTACTGAACAACGTTGGTTAAAAGATGCAGAAAAAAACTTATAACTCTATTGTTTTTTAAACTTAACGTTGATTACAAGAGGTAGAAAATAGATAATAACCCTATTACTTTTTAAATCTAAACGGAAAAGACTGTGAAAATAACTCATTTAATATATATGTCTCGTGCATCGCACTAAGAAAGTCGGGAAAAATATTCTTTTCATTATTACTTCTATTAATCCCGGCGGCGGAAGAGATAAAAAGATGGGGGCACGCGTTAAGACAAAAGGGAAGAAAAAACAAAGTTGACTCGGTAAACTCATAATTATTTTTAATTAAGGTGCCAAGAACTGAAAATAAACTCCATTTTAGAAATATATATAAAAATGCCAGAAAACAAAAGGAGGAGAAATCCTTTTCTCTCTACCCTCTCCCACTTCTCTCTCTCTCTCTCTCTCTCTCTCTCTCTACCCTCTTCTCCCTCTCTCTGCTCTACCCCTTCGGCGGCGGTCCGTTGCCGCCCCTGAATCTCTCTCATCAAAGTTATCTCCGATTGGATTCATTCTGATCTTTTATCTGCACAGGGAGAATATTCAGGCGAACCCGATATGCGTCTAGCCGTGAAGTCGCCGCCTTATCGGGAAAGATCCGATTAGCTTCTCCGGTGCGGCTGTGATCCAAAATCGGTGGCTCTCTTTCCAAATCACTTTACGTGCTTTCATTTGTTATATCTATTTGATTAGCTCTTTTCCTTTTCCGTTAGTTCTGAACAGAAATATAGCAATAAGCTCGCCCTGTGTATACCTTAAAGTTGGAATCTTTACTGGATTGATTAATTTCTTTATCTTTTCTGGGGAGTGGGTTTTATTCGGAAGCCCGATTAATGGACCTTTCGATTGTGAAGGGTGAAAACAGAACACCTTTATTCGACATTACTTTTTCTGGGGCTGCTTAAATTATAGGCATGATCGACAGATAAAGAAAGCCTCTGTCTAGAAATAGAAAAGGGTATTCTATTCTGGGTGCCAGTTTGTAAATTTTTTGATTACTCGAATTTCGCCCTTGATGCATCCGGAAAACATACTAACTAACATGGATTCCGAACCACAAAAATCGATAAAGCTAGCATCGTCATCTGATTCGGGCGACTGTTTAATCCCGGGCCTGCTCGATGACGTGGCCTTCACGTGCCTCGCCCGCGCTAGCCGTTCTGACTACGCCTCCCTCTCCTGCCTCAACAAGAGATTCCACCGCCTCATCAAGAGCGACTACTTGTACGAGCTGAGGCGACAGTCGGGCATAGTCGAGCACTGGGTCTACATGGTGTGTGATCCCCGAGGTTGGGAGACCTTCGACCCCTTGAGAAAAAAATGGACACGACTGCCGAAAATCCCGTGCGACGACTGCTTCAACTACGCGGACAAGGAGTCCTTGGCCGTGGGTAGTGAGGTTTTGGTTTTCGGGCGAGAGATGTTTGAGTTCGCCATATGGAAGTACAGCTTGAGCACACGTGATTGGTCCAAGTGTCGTGGCATGATTCGACCTCGCTGCCTTTTCGCATCCGCAAGTCTCGGCTCGATCGCGATTGTGGCTGGTGGCAGTGATAAGAACGGGAATGTCTTGAAATCGGCCGAGCTTTACGATTCCCTTACGGGTGAGTGGGAGGATCTCCCGAGCATGCACACGCCTCGTAGGCTGTGCTCGGGGTTTTTCATGGCCGGGAAATTTTATGTGCTTGGGGGGATGAGCGAAGGGGTGTCAGACTGGTTGACTTGCGGGGAGGAGTTTGATTTGAGGACTCGGAAGTGGAGAAGGATTGAAGGGATGTATCCAAACGTGAACCGAGCTGCGCAGGCGCCGCCGCTTGTGGCGGTGGTGGACGAGCAGCTGTATGGGGTGGAGTACATGACGAATATGGTGAAGAGGTACAATTGGGAAGGGAACATGTGGGAGGATATGGGGAGGCTTCCGGTGAGGGCCGACTCGTCGAATGGGTGGGGGCTGGCGTTCAAGTCGTGTGGGGAGGCGATTTTGGTGGTTGGTGGGCAGCGAGGGCCGGAGGGGGAGGCTATTGTGTTGAGTTCTTGGAAGCCCAAGAAATCGGGAGTTCAGAACGGGACTCTGGATTGGGAGGTGGTGGGAGTGAAAGAGCACGCAGGCGTGTTCGTCTACAACTGTGCTGTCATGGGCTGCTGAGGAGATTACGAGAGAGGGACAAAAGGATAGAAAGGGGCTTCGTAGGCTTCGGATTTTTAGTCCGATTCTCGTCTTTTCTTTTTTTTTTTATTCCTTCTTTTTTTGTTTGTTGATCAGAATGTTGTTTGAATTTATGTTGTTTCATGTTACATAAGGTTCTTGAATCCTAACTCCTAAATGCTGGAGAGAAATGATACTATTGTCATCAGGGTGTCATTGGATGGATCATTGGATCCCCTATGTTTAACACTTTGGTTCTAAAGCATTTCTCCACTATTATAAGACATGGGTCTAAACCAAATATGTTCTTATAAATTATAATTTTAATAATTTTTCTCACATATATTTGGTTACCCATTATTTTAGACCAATTTTTTTAAATTTTGTATTGGAGTGTTTTATTTTTTTCTTCACGAACTCTACATCATTAAAAACATTAACTTTATTATAATAACTCAATAAAATTAAATTAGACATAAATCATTGTGATTGATATTTATTAGCCAATAATATTATTTATGTTGCGCGTAATATTAGTTGTGCTGTTTAAATTTCAGCGTGCAGTGTGCTTTACTGGTCAAAAATTAACGCTTGTTAGTGGAAAATAAAGGAAATGGAAAGGAAATTTGTTATCATTTTCCAAGTAATATGTTTAATCTGGGAAATGTTACGGTTCTCATTACAGAAACATTCCATTGAACTAGTAATCGTTAAATTAAATATTCTTGACGATTACATAATGATCTAACATCTAATTCTGACGAAATGGTTGGATAATGAGATAATTTTCATTTTTATGGGTCAAACACCGCGTAAGCTAGGATTTGTCCTGATAATTGAGTTTGACCCAGCATTCCAAGTGCCCTTTATTTCTCATGACGAGCACATGCTTCGTTCAACTTCTGTCAAATTAACATTTCATTATATATTTCACATCACCTAAAAGTTCATTAGGAAAGATTTTATAGTTGAATTTGAATATTGAGTTTATAGTGAATCACTAATAAGGGATTTTTTTATTTTTTATTTTTTTATCTTTAATTATATATTTCACATCACCTAAAAGTTCATTAGGAAAGATTTTATAGTTGAATTTGAACATTGAGTTTATCGTGAATCATTATGTGACTTTTTTTTTTCTTTTTTTTCTTTTTTTCTTTTTTTACCTCTCTCAAAGAATTGTTCGTTTTTAAACATTGTCTAAATGCTTTTTTATTTAAGATCTATTAGATTAATCATTTTATATGTATTTTACATCTTTTATGTATTTTGCACTTTAGTCCTCAGCCTTGTAAATATTATGTAATAGGCATAGTATATATACCCATATTAAGGCTTCTCATCCTCACTTTCCACTTTCTCAGATTCTCTCTTCTCTCTCTAAAATCGGCAGTTCATATTTTCTTCTCATCAAACATACTGTGTAATTTTCTTCAGATTTAATGGAAGTTTTATGATGATTTTACTTTTATTATGGTATCAGTTACCAGATCTGCTCGATCCGATTGATTTTCCGCTGCTATTTCTTTGATCTGATTGTTCGATCACATTCATAGATCGAACCCTATTTTTCGATTTTTCACTTTTTCGTTGATTCTCTGCTTCGATCTAGTTCATTTTGGTTCTTATCGCCTCCGATCTGGTGTCTTTTCTCAGATCTGACTCGATTTGATCTCATTTGTTCTGATCGATTTGTGTTTTTTTTAATCTGCTTCGATTTTGTTCTCTCGATATGGCCGCCATGACTCACCCGTCTGATGATCCGTCATCTCCGTTTTACCTTCATCCGAGTGACAACCCCGGTGCTGTCATTGTTGCTGATCCGTTCACCGGAGACAATTACGTTGCCTGGTCTCGCGCTGTTCTCATGGCCTTGAGCGTCAAAAATAAGGTTTCCTTTGTCGACGGTTCTATGGTAACACCTAACTCTGCTACTCATCCTAATGAACATGTTGCTTGGGTGCGTGCGAATAATCTTGTCTTGTCATGGATTTTGAATTCAATTGCTAAAGATATTCGCCATTCTCTTCTGTTCTTCACTGATGCTCAAAGTGTTTGGGATGAAATTAAGTCTCGCTATGCTCTTAGTAGTGGTCCTAGGGTGTTTCAACTCGAAAAATCTCTCAGTTCCATGGACCAGGGTTCTCAAACAGTCACTCAATACTATACTGCCTTCAAATCCCTTTGGGATGAATACATTACCTATCGACCTGTGTTTAAATGTTTTTGTGGTGCAATGTCTCGTTGTTCTTGTCATATTTTTGAATCCATGACTTTGGCA